GGAGCTCCTCCCTTGTGGTCAGTGCGCTCCCACAGGGGGAGCTCTGTTCAGCCACAAGCCAGGTTGATGGCTGCCAGCACAGTGGTGGTGGCAAGAGCCTCTCCTGCCTCCTCAGCAGCGCTAAGGATGTCCGACTGACGGCTTAGGGAGCGGACCTAAGCTGTCAGTTGGACATCCCCGAGGGCTCCCGGGCTGCCAGAGGGCACAGGCCGGGCTGAGGGCCCCTCCCCCGCCCCCCCAGTGCATGAATTTTCATGCACCAGGTCTCTAGTAAATAAATAAACCAGGGCTTCCCCACCATCCTGTGCCTCCAAGGAGGTGGAGCAGCATCCCTGGCCTCTACCACTAGATGGCAGTAGCATCCCCTCCCATCCTACAACCAGGAGTGTCAGCAGACAGTGACAAATGTCTCGGGGTGGGGGTGAGGGGGGCAGAAGCCGCCCACCCAACCCTCAGGGAGGGCTTACTACGCCGCATGCCAGGTGCTCAGCACCTCACAGGCGGGAGCTCACGGAATCGCCCGATGATCGCGGGAGATAGAAAGTGTTGTTCCCATTTTTCAGACGAGGAAACGAAGGCTTCACACAGAGGTGAAGGTCACGGGGCTGGCCCATCAGGGTTCAAGCCCAGGTCTGTCTGCCCCCAGAGCCCCTGCTCTGAATCACACGCTCTGCGAGAGCCAGAAGGAAGGGGGTGGGGCGGTTGCCATGCTGTCCATGCCCGGGTCAATTCCTTGCCCGTGTCACTCACGTCACTCTCTCTTACTCTGGGTCAAATTCAAGGTCCTGCCCTTGGCCCCAGGAGGTGTCCTCTGATCTGGCCGCCCTACCACCCCCAGCCTCACCAAGCTCATCTTCGACCACCTCCCTTTGCTCCCCACGCCCCAGCCACCGCGGGCTCCTTCCTCCTCCCACAGGCACACGGGGCTGGCCCATCAGGGTTCAAGCCCAGGTCTATCTGCCCCCAGGGCCCCTGCTCTGAATCACACTGCTCTGTGAGAGCCAGGAGGAAGGGGGTGGGCACACGCCTGCCCCAGGGCCTTTGCACCTGCTGCTTCCCCTGCTCGGAATTCTCTGCCCTGCCATCTTTGCATAGCGCAAAGATTTCATACGTCACGCGGCGAAAGCATCACTGACCACCCTGTCAAAATGGACTCTGTCCTGTTCCCTGCTTTCTTTTCTTTTTTTAAAAAATATATTTTTATTTCAGAGAGGAAGGAGGGAGAAAGAGAGAGAGACATCAATGATGAGAGAATCATTGGTCAACTGCCGCCTGCACGCCCCACACTGGGGATCGAGCCCGCAACCCAGGCATGTGCCCCGACCGGGAATCGAACCTTGACCTCTTGGTTCACAGGTTGACGCTCAACCACTGAGCCACGTTTAGACGACACCTGCTATGTCCCAGGCATGCTTTTAAGCCTGTTTCAGCTCATCTTCTCCCTCACGCTGTCTCCCCGAAGTCACATTTCTATTTCATTGGTCTCCTTAGCATCCCTCCCCCCACTACATGGTCCCTTTCCTAGCGGCTTGGTTCTGTCTGTGGGACTCACCACCCCGAACAGTGCCTGGCCCCGGGGAGCCGTCCCATAAGCAGGTGCTGAATGAGGGACGGTCCTCTGCCTTTGCCCGAGCCTGGTGTGTATGTCTGTGTGCGCACACGCTGTCGCCCCAGCTAGAGTGTCAACCGCCGCCAGGTGTGAGTTCGCGTGGCTGCGCGCCCCTAGCCGACACCTGGCCTGCCTAGCACACGGCCAGAGCATCAACACCAGCTCCACCAGCTCTCCCATCTTCTCCCGGGGAGCCCCGTGTTTACTGGTGTCCTAGCACGCATCTCTCAGCTCGACGATTATTTGTTTACACGTCTGCCTCTTCGCCAGATTGTGGCTCCCCTCCCCCTCCCCAGGGCAGGTGCCATGCTGAGTCTGATTCATCCATCTCCCATCCCGCACGCAGTCGATGCGCAAGAAACAGGCATGGCCCTGGCCGGTGTGGCTCAGTGGATAGAGCATCGGTCGGCCTGGGGACGGAAGGGTTCCGGGTTCGATTCTAGTCAAGGGTGCATGCCCGGGTTGTGGGCTCGATCCCCAGTGTGAGGCGTGCAGGAGGCAGCCGATCCATGATTCTCTCTCATCGTTGGTGTTTCACTCTCTCTCTCCCTCTCTCTTCCTCTCTGAAATCAATAATAGACACACACACACACACACACACACACATATATACATACATATATATGGAACAGGCATAGGAAGGATGGGGATGGAGAACATGGCGCTGAGTCAGTCATTCATTCCTCGAGTCATTCAATCCAGCCTGAAGCGAACCCCTGGGCTGGGTGCTGCAGGCTTGGGGAGAAGAAGGTGGCTGACCCCTCATTCATTCATTCATTCATTCACTCCCTCAACAAACATGCCTCTAGGCCTATCACGTGCTGGGGCTTTGGGACAGCGGATGGGTCGGACTTAGCCGAGCCTTGAGCTCCCGGCCTCAACGTGGACCTGACCTTCACCACCAGGGCTAGACGGGCATGCCAGGGGGCCAGGCCAGCAGAGAGTGAGGAAATGCCAGGGCCCAGCGCTGGGCCCTGGAAACGTAAAGTCTGGGAGGGCAGACAAGGGGAGAGAAGTAGAGGAAGACCTCACGCGTGTGGAGCGTCTGTTCGTTAAGCACCTGGCCAAGAGCAAGCAAAACAATTCAGCCGCCTGGTCCTTTGCTGTTGGCCCATTTCACAGACGGGCAAGAGGAGGCCGAGGAGGGGGAGCGGCTGGCCCATCTGACTTGCCAGGAGGAATCGTTCTCCTTATTAATTCCTCATCTTACATTTCCCCTGCTCAAATGAATGGTGTGGTTTCCACCTCCTGACTGGATCCTGACTGATAACGGTTACGATAATGACAATAATTATTATTATTACAGCCGCCTTCCAGGGATGAGCACTTAATATACGGGATCTTTTATCCCCTTCAATCAGCTGATGCCATTCCCATGTCAGGGAGAGGACGGAGCCTCCCAGAGGGGATAGGGCTTGTTTGGGGGGCCCCCCGGGCTGCCACCAGGCCATGCATGGGAGGGAGGGGGGAGCCAGGGGGCTGGGGCAGAGGCCATGTCAGGGAGCAGGAGAGAGAGAAGCACCGCACTGAGTCCCCCCCTGCAGGCGTCAAGCAGACTGCGTGCTGGGCGGCATGTGGCTACCTGCCAATCCCAGCTCTGCCAGTGCTGGGGAGGCACAGGGGGCGGGGCTGTTTTGGAGACAGACGGGGGTAGGGGAGAAGGGGCTGTGGACCCGCAGCGGTGGCCACGCCCTGAGCGACCCTGGGGGGACAGGCAGGGAGCCTTTGGAAGTGGGTGGGGAGACTGAGGCTCGGAGGGGCTCCCGCCCAGGACTGCCTGCCACACAAGCAGCAAGGGGCTGGCCATCAGGCCGAAAGCGCCAGCTCCTGCCAACCCAGCTGGCCCAGCGGAGCGAGACCCTCTGCCAGCTCTTTGCAAGTCGCCTCCACGCCGGAGGGAGCCCACCCACTGGTCCTGCATTGCTGCCATTTACAACCCACTGTCCCCAGGGGGTGGGGGTGGGGGCGCCCCCCCTTACCCGCCCCCCCACCAGCGGCTGGGGCTTGGTCTTTCCTCTGCCCCCTGCAGGGCCCTCCCCGCGGGCACTGGTGCTCAGCAGGGGCTGTGCTGGAGGCTGAAGGGAGACTTACAGGAGACAGAACTCGGAGTAACTGTCCCGTCTGGTGATGGCCCCGACTCTCTCCGCCCTGGCCATGCCCCGGCCCCAGCGCCCTTTCTCCCTGCTTTCTACTCAGCTGACACCTGCTCACCGGGGCACAGGTGGCACCAGCCCGGAGCCCGAGCCCACCCGTGGGCTCCCACAGGGACCTGGATCCCCGTGAGCTCCCTCTGCGCGCTCCGTCCTCCTCGGTCACTACCTGGTCTTCAGCACCCAGTTCCGGGCCTGACACAGGGACCACGCTCAGTAAGTGCTTGTTGGATGGATGATGGATGGATGATGGACGGACGGACGGACGGACGGACGGGTGGAACAGAGAAGGGGCAGAGAGCGCAGGGAGGCCAGGGCTGGAGCCAGGGCCCGTGCAGACCTTGTTGTAGAGGGCGCAGATGTGCAGCGCTGTGTTCCCCGAGGCGTTCTGGGCTCCGGGCTCAGCGCCATAGAAGAGCAGGTGCTCCAGGTGCTGAGAGTGACCCCGCTGGCAGGCCTGGGGGGACAGGGGCCGCGGGAGCCGGTCAGACCCTCCGCCTGGCTGGGCGCCCTGCACCCACGGCCCTGCTCCCTTCAGCCTGTTCCCTCTTGGCGACCCTGGTCGTCGCCTCACCTGTCATTCCAAGGCCCAAGGCGTCCGGCCTGGCCCCTCAGAAGCCCCAGGAGCCGTCCCTGCCCATGTTCCCTTGGGGTTCCGGTGTCGACACCCCCATCGCTCCCTCTTTGGGGGCCCTGTGCCCTCACCTCTACCCTCCGTGAGGCCCCCAGCATCGGATCCCCAGCCCCTCGGACCAGGGTCCCTGATCCGTGCCCCACTGTGGGCCCAGGCACCGATCTCCTGCCAGCCGTTCTCATCAGCCACACCCAGCTGGGCCCGGTTGTACAGCAGCAGCTCGCAACAGCGGGGGTCGCCCCCCACCATCGCCGTGTGGAACAGAGGGGTCAGCCCCCGGCGGTCCTTGTAGTTGGGGGAGCCCCCGAGATCCAGGAGGGCCTGGGAAGGGAGACAAGACGGACAAGAGTTGAGGGAGGACTGGCTCGTCCTGAAGAGCCAGCCGGGGGGAGTCCGGTGACCTCCACTGGCCAAGGCCAAGCTCAGTTCTGATGCCCTTGGGCGACCTTGAGCCTGGCCCTGGCTCTCTCTGAGCCTCTCTCATCCCTGGTGAACCATGAGGGGACTGGGAGGAGGCCTGCAGACCAACCTTTCCCCTACGCCAACGGTTCTCAACCTGAGGGTCGCGACCCCTTTGACTGTCAAACAACCCTTTCACAGGGGTCGCCTAAGACCATCCTGCATATCGGATATTTACATGACGATTCATCACAGTAGCAACATGACAGTGATGAAGTAGCAACGGAAATAATGTTATGGTTGGGTCACAGCATGAGGAACTGTATTTAAAGAGCCAGAAGGTTGAGATGTGGCTCGCGAGCCGCGGTTTACCGACCACGGGCCTAGGGCCTAGGGGGATGTGGGATGAGCTGTAGAGGGAACGCGGAGCCTGGTGCCCACCGACTCGGTGGGTCGGCCGTGGGGACAGATGACAGAACTGAGTCCGGCCACAGGAGGCCCCTGGCCAAGTGGGAGGTGTTACTGGGTCCAAGATCCCAAGGATGACGCCCAGGAGGAGGCCTTGGAAAGAGCGAGTTTGGGTCAGGGCCAGCGGGCCAGCCTCGCTGGGTCCCTGGGGGCAGGGAGGGTCCATTCAAGGGACCCCTCTGGGGACAGAAGGCTGGAGGCATCGAGTGGTATTAGAACAGTGTTGGCGCGGCCCTGTGGGAGGACGGCCGCTTGGCACTTTCCCAGAGCACGCTCTGCGGCCTCAGCCACGGTCACGGTCACAGCTGCATCGCCCAACTCAGCAGCCACACGTGGCCAGTGAGCCCAGGAAGCCCAAGGTTTTTGTTTTTAACTATATTTCAGAGAGGAAGGGAGAGGGGGAGAGAGAGAGAAACATCCATGATGAGAGAGAGTCACTGATCAGCTGCCTCCTGCACTCCCCACACTGGGGATGGAGCCAGCAACCCAGGCACGTGCCCTGACCGGGAATCAAACCGTGACCTCCTGGTTTAGAGGTCAATGCTCAACCACTGAGCCACACTGGCCGGGCGCCAGAAGCCTAAGTTTTGATTTTCGTTCACTTTAGTCCATTTAGATCTAAACAGCCCAGGTGGCTAGTGGCTACTAGACCGGACAGGTCAGGTCTGGATCTGGGGGGAGTGCAGGGCATTGGGGGACATACGAGGGTCTGTGGGTTTCGGGGTATAAGAGGCTTGTTGGCGGGAGTTTGACTACGTTTGGGGTTCTTTTTCTTTTTAAATATATTTTTATTGATTTCAGAGAGGAAGGGAGAGGGACAGAGCAATAGCAACATCAATGATGAGAGAGAATCATTGATCAGTTGCCTCCTGCACGCCCCCCTGCCCCCCTGGGGATCAAGCCCGCAACCCGGGCATGTGCCCTTGAACAGAATCGAACCCAGGGCCCTTCAGTCCACAGGCCGACACTCTATCCACTGAGCCAAACCAGCCAGGGCACGTTTAAGGTTCTTCAAAAAGGGGTTGGAGAAAGGGAGGTGGAGGGGGGCCTGTGAAGCTGGGCTACCTGTGGATCTGGGCGTTTACCCACAGCTACGTATCTTTGGGGGTGATCTACCCTGGCCTGTGTGTGAAGAGGGCTCAAGGCCCCTCGGGAGGGGGTGGGAGGAAGGGAATAGCAGCCCTGGCCAGGTAGCTCAGTTGGATAGAGCATCACCCTGATACCCCAAGGTTCTGGGCTCCATCCCCGGTCAGCCACACAGAAGAATCAACCAATGAATGCAGAAACGAGTGGGACAACACGTCGATGTCTCACTCCAATCGATATATTTAAGAAAAGGGGAAGAGCATCTTAAAATAAGACTGTGCAAGCTGACTCCGTGGATGTACTTTGTGGGTAGGTGCGGCTCCTCTATTCGGGCGGAGGGGCCGCACTAGCAGGCGAGAGAAGGGGGCGTGTGCTGGGGGAGTGAACGCTGGGTTGGGAAGGGTAGAGGGGGCTGTGTTTGCAGGTGTGTGTGTGGAGGAGGGTCTCTATCTGGGGGCCAAGCAGGGAGTTCCCTGTACATCTCAAAGGACACGAGGAGGGTCTACCCCTCAGGGACACAGTGGCAGGGTGCTGCTGGGTCAGAGGGGACAGGGGACACTGAGTGTCTGGGTGTCGGGAGAGTTGTGTCATCTACCTGGGCCCAGGGGAAGGCCCGTGTGAGGACCAGCTGTAGCAGGTCCTGAGCTGGGAGGTGGCTGCACCTGGGGCCTGAGCGGGGATCTCAGACCGGTGGGAGGCGTGACAATGGAGGGGGAGGAGGAGGGAGGGTCTGGATGGCGAACCTATGACTCAAACTCATTTTTTTGGTTGATTTTTCTTTAAGTGGCATTAAAATATAAAAATAAATATCAAAAATAAAAATCTTTGTTTTACTATGGTTGCAAATATCTAAAAATTTCTATATGTGACACGACACCAGAGTTAAGTTAGGATTTTTCAAAATGCTGACACGCCGAGCTCAAAAGGTTCGCCATGGCTGGTCTGGAGCAATTTGCCGGGGACAGTCTGTGTGGGAAACACGGCAATTTGGGGGTGTCTCGGATCTGCGGGAGCATCCTGGGGGGCTGGCGCCTCACCGTGAGAGCCAGGCAGTGCCGGGCACACGCGGCCTTGTGCAGGGCTGTCATGCCATCCCGGGCTCGGAAGTCGATGTGGGCCCCGCCCAGGCACAGGGTTCGAATCACGTCTACGGAGCCTTCCGTCTGGGCAGCCAGCGTCAGCGGGGTCTCTGAGGGTGAGACAGCCCGTCACAGGCAGCCCCCAGGCCTGGTGCTGGGCGCTTCCCTGGAGCCCCCGGCCCCGGCCCTACCTCCTGAATCCGAGTCGTGGTAATTGGGGTCCAGCCCCTTGTCCAGCAGCCGCGCCACCTTGTCAGACGTTCCGAGCTGCACGTATTCCAGAAACTTCTTCAGTCCGGTCTGGGGCGTGGACAAGAGAGAGGACAGGCCCGTGAGGGAGCCGGTGGTGAAGCTGGGATCTCCGGTGAAATACACAGTGAGCCACACAAGGCATTGAGAGTCCCTAGTAGCCACTTTTTTAGAAAAGAAAGGGGCCCTGGCCGGCGTGGCTCAGTGGTTGAGCATCGACCTATGAGCCAGGGGGTCATGGTTTGATTCCCGGTCAGGGCACATGCCTGGGTTGCGGGCTCGATCTCCAGTAGGGGGGCGTGCAGGAGGCAGCCGATCCATGATTCTCCCTCCTCATCCATGTTTCTATCTCTCTCTCTCCCTCTCCCTTCCTCTCTAAAGTCAATAAAAATCAGTAAAAATACGTTAAAAATAAATAAATGAAAAAGAAAGGGGCCCCTAGCTGGTTTGGCTCAGTGGTTGGAGCATCGGCCCTTGGACCGAAGGGTCTCAGATTCGATTCCCAGTGAAGGGCACATACTTTGGCTGCAGGTTCCCCAGCCCCGGTGGGAGCATGTGTGGGAGGCAACCAATCGATGTGTCTCTCTCACATCAATGTTTCTCTCTCTCTCTCTCTCTCTCTCTCTCTCTCTCTCTCTCCCCCTCCTCCCTCCTTTCCACTCTCTCTAGGAATCAATGGGAAAATATATCCTTGGGTGAGGATAAAAAAAAGAATAGAAAAGAAAGGAAAAGAAAAGACGGAACAGCATGGCTGGATAGCTCAGTAGGTTAGAACATCGTCCTGATTCACCAAGGTTGTGGGCTTGATCCCCGGTCAGGGCACATACAAGAACCAACCAGTGAATGCATCAGTAAGTAGAACAACAAATTGATGTTTCTCTGCCCCCCACCCCCCGCACCTCTTAAATCAACCAATAAATAAATAAAACTTTTTCATTTTAAATGCCGAAACCGGTTTGGCTCAGTGAATGGAGCATCGGCCTGCGGACTGAGGGGTCCCAGGTTTGATTCCGGTCAAGGGCATGTACCTTGGTTGCGGGCACATCCCCAGTAGGGAGTGTGCAGGAGGCAGCTGACCAGTGATTCTCTCTCATCCATGTTTCTTTGAAGTCTGGCATGCATTTTACTCTCAGAGCCTGGCTAAGCGTGGGGACCCACCACACTTGTACATGCTGGGGAGCTGTCTGTGGCCGGTGGCTCCCGCAGTGGACAGCGGCTCCTGCAGTGGACAGCACAGGTGTGGGGGGATGGAATATTGGGGGGAGGACTAGGCCGAATGAATGCATGCTGGGGGGAGATGAGGAGGAATCCCCAAATGACAAGGACCCTTCACTGCACTATTTTTTGTTTTTAATATGTTTTATTGATTTTTTTTACAGAGAGGAAAGGAGAGGGATAGAGAATTAGAAACATCGATCAGCTGCCTCCTGCACACTTCCTACTGGGGATGTGTCTGCAACCAAGGTACATGCCCTTGACCGGAATCGAACCTGGGACCTTTCAGTCCGCAGGCCAACGCTCTATCCACTGAGCCAAACC